CCTCGCGGTCCGTCAACGCGTTGTGCTTGTTTCTACTTTTTTTTTTCTTTTAAAAACGGGCTTTTTTTTTTTTTGACGCAAAGTTTTATTTTATTGTTATCCTTCACACAAACGTCCTTCGGCCTTGGGGTCGTGGAAATTGGGGATGAAGCGTGCACAGAGTAGATCGTTGTTTGCCTCCTTTTTATTTTTCACGGACGTCCTGTGACCTCCGTACGGTTCGTGGTCACCACAATCTAACGCGGGGAAAAACGGGTCGCCTGCTCTGTAGTCAGGGTATTCCTAGGGGAGGGTGATAACTCGCTGTTCTTCTCGAAATTCACATATCCCCCAAAAAGGTGACATGGGTAATGATTACGGTATGTTTTTTTCCGGTGTTTATTTTTGAGCGAAAATCGGTGCATGTTTTTCGGTGCTTATTTTTTAATCACCAGTGTATTATGGGTTGAACGTCTTGTGATGACGCTAAAAAGCGTTGATAACCAAAGAAAAATGCGATTGGACAAGAACATTTCAAATTTCCAATTCTATTCACATATCCATTACGCTCTTCTCGTGGGAGCATCTATCCTGACGAAAAATGCCAAAGTCATTGAGCTGTGAACGCATACTCAGTGTACAATCTTTCGGCCTAGAGAGGTATTGCGCACGCTCGAACGCGCTTCACAGCCCAGTAGACGAAGTTGGTGGCACCCAGAAGGCGAGTTCTTGAATGGTCTGTAGTAGGCAAAAGAAACAAATAACAATCAACGCATATCAGCTCTTCAAGCGAAGAAGCGCGTTTCTAAGGTCATGGTTCCGGACGGCACTAATGTTGTTGGCGTTGTCGTAAGATGACGTCAGTTCATACGAACTGACGTCATCTTACGTGATGACGTGACACAAACACGTCATCTTACATGATCTCGTTACACGAAATGACGTCATCTTACGTGATCACGCTGCACGAAATGACGCCATCTTACGTGACCACGTAACACGTCATCTTGTAAGTCAACCTCTCCACACAGCAGCGCTTTCCGGGCCCGTGCAGTGCTGTAGTCGAAAGCAAGCTCCCTATGGCAAGCGAAAGCTTCTGAAGTCTCACATTGAGAATACTCGCTAGCGACCGTCTGTGGAAGCTTCGCACGTTGAGGTTTTTGTCGAGATCGAGCCATCGTGTTCCATTAACTATAGTTGAAGTTATCGTTCAATAAAGCCCTAAAAAATATGAATGTAGTTGGTGTAGACATCAAGATCTAATCAAAAATGCGGTTTGACGTCAATTAACGTGCATATACAAGTGTAGAAAAAAATGAGTTATTTGTGCATAGATGTTTAAAAAAGTGTTTATTATTCGACATAGGACTTTGGGAGAAGGATGTGTTCAGATTTTTCTTCATGAGCGCAAATATACCTGACGCAATAAATAGTGACGATTTCATCGTCCCAGTGGTGAGCAGGTGATTTCTTGCTCGAAACAATGATGCCATTTCATAAACCAAGTTCTGTGACATATGCTTTTCCAATGTCTGGTCACTATTTTGTAAACCTTTCAGTCCAAACGAGTATACTTCTGTTTGTTTTTGTTAGCTTAGGAGGGGGTCACAGAGCCTATCTCTTTGTCTTCCTCTAGGACAGACGTACAGAGTTATACCGCAACACGCATCTGTGGAACACACAGAGCTATCGCTCTCCTGTTGGCGGTACAGTAGCAGACGACACAACGCAGCTCCGTAGTCTATCGAGGGCACGGCTAGCCGCGGCCCGTAGCGCGACCGTTCAGACTTGGGAAATGGTTTTGAAGAACCGAGAAATGGTATCTTGTGTACAATAATCACATGTCGTTAGTATACTAGTATTCTACTTGCTAAGCCAAATAAATATTTGCAGCTTGTGAGAATATGTTTGCGTGACGATTTACCGTTCACACTCCTGACGGATGTTAGCGAGTCCTTCATGTTCGTGGCTCGCAGTTATCGCTACCCCCTCGGAGTGACTTCACCATATATATTTTTTTCTTGCTTGCAGGACATCATAAAAATCACAAACACGCGAGAAAAAAAAAATCTTATGAGTACGCGTGATTTTGAGCTTCGCAGCTCTAAAGATGCCCGGTAAATGTCGTCCAGTCTGTTTTGTCTATACTCCGTTTCACCGTAATTTGGCAACCCTCAGTCGCGGAGCAAAGCACGTGACAGCTACTTTTACGAGCAGTACTATGGCACCTGCAGCGCGTCTCCGACTGGTGTGGTTAGCGTCTTATGCTGGCCATACATCAAAAGTTGTCCCGAAGTGCAACAAATGACGTCACAGAAGACGGAGTGTCACGCTGTTGCATCTCGCGATCCTGGCAATTCATCGTAGAAATGCTGGCGAAAACCACGAGGGAACACGAGTGTCGCTGTCGTCATGGCGTCCCAACGAAAAGCAATTATACAATTTCGACGTTTTTGTAATTCGGTAATTTAAATTACTGTATATAATTTTTAAGAAAGTAAAGACATCATAACCAAATAGGAACTTCCGTGCCAAAACATGCAGTGCGAAGTGAAGACAACTACTATCTTTTTTTTTTTTTTCTTGATGTCCACAAAAAAAAAAAAAAGGCTATGCAGCATCGATCCTACCGTTTTTTTGTTGTTTTTTTCGCACATTATGTGATGTCCTCTAACACGAAAGTACCGACGTAAAAGCGCTGTAGAGACGATATAAAAACAAAAATTTAAGGGAATCGAGCTTTGTAGTAAACGGAAAAAAATAAATAATTAACGACTTTTTACGGTAAACACTTCACCTCTAAGTAGAACTTCAAAAAAGTGACGGTTACGCGCTTTCATGCCCATTTCAACAAAGTTGGGAGAACGATGTATTGCATCTTGTGAATAGACGTGTGGAGCAGCATGTTTATCTTAGAGGCGTTGTGTGTAATCGCTGCGCAGTACCTGCCAAAAGAAGATATTATTTGGGCAGTCTCAACCGTTTCCGTTTGTGTGTGCTACGAATACAGCAACTCTTTTCGTAGAAGAAGTGATGAGGAAATGGCGTGCCCTTGATGATACGATTGTGATTATGAAATAAAATTTTTAATCAGCCAATAATTGCGACCTGTCCGGTCGCCTGGAACCCCGACAACAACTCTCGTTCTCTGGAAAGTTCATTCTAATATTTACACGTTTTGTGGAGTTCATCGAGCGAATAAGAATGTTCCAACGATGAGCTAAACCTACACGAGTTCCCCAATCCAACTCGGCGCTTTTGAATTTTAGCGCCGTAGATAGTTCTGCGAACAGAGTATACTTCTGTGCAAATATTCGTCTAACAGTTTTGCAACGTTGGAAAGCATCGGAATCAGCGACCCCGGAAGTGTATTTTACGTGGGGGGGCTGGCGGTCGAAATAAAAGGTGAAAGGGGGGGGGGGGGGGAGTAAAATCTAAAAAAAAGCACCCATTACCAAGATTTCACTGTTAATACAAGGTTAATTATCATTTCCTATACCGTATGCCCCTACATTAATTCAAAATTCTTGTCACGAAGCAATGAAATATTGACACGATCTGATCCAATAGTAGTAGCTGCACGGTGGCATCGATCTACGGTGTCGATGTAGAATGCACCGAAATCGGGCGCCTGCACGTGGAGAGCTCACATTTTCAACGAAGGTGCATTTTAATCCTGACCGGATTCCTCTGAAATTTCTCGGCGTAGCTTTGTTCTTGTGAAAAGTTGTGACATTCTTGAAAATTTCAAAAATGCGTCCGCCATATAGACCGAGTTTACCACCGGTGGACGCGGTCGTCAGCATTAAATTCCAATGAAACCGAGCTATGCCTAACATTCACAGACGCAGAGTTACGCCGAGAAATTTTGCAAGAATGCGTGCACGACTAAAATATACCTTCGATGAAAATATGAGCTCCGTCTCCGTGCAGACGCCGATCTTCCCGGTGCATTTTACATCGACACCGTAGAACAATACAATATATTGCGTTGAATAGCAGTGAAGCTTGCTAGTATTCGCATAGACGTGTTCCGCCATTAACCATGCCTCGCGTCCGTTCTATAAATTTAACGGCTTTCTGCAGCATCCTATTGAGTCGCAGAAGAGTTTTTCGTCATTCTTTTGTCTCGCAGTTTTGATAATTTACTTACCATCATTGGTAAATATATTAATTCCTATATAACGTATATTAGAATGCAGTAGTAACCTTTTTACAGAAATTGAAGAAATACTACGTTGCCAAAAAAAGCGGGGTTTATTTAGTCGCCCATATTTACTTGGAGCAAGAACCAGTGCACACGATCTTTTTGAAAATAGTTCATGACGCAAGTTGCGCAATCACGCCGAAAGTAGCCGACCGCTCAGCGGTTCTGGAGACGAATTCTCCCATCACAGCGTTCAAGTCAAGCTGCCTGGTCTCCTCCTTATGGACATGAAGCAGAAGCAGCTGGCCGAGACGTTTCTGAGTCATCCGATTTCGCAGGCACGTTTGGACTCTCTTCAGGGCACTGAAAGAGCGTTCTCCTGTAGCCGCCGACGCAGGCACGGTCAATAAAGTTCTACCAGGGCTGCTACCTGGTCAAGGAGGTTGCGCACCGTCTGAGAATTTTCATTTAGGGCTTGTACCACATCTTCAACTTTTTTCATTGGTGCAGCTGGGATGGTCGGAAGGAGCATGAGCTGTGCACCAAGCCTTCCTAGCTCAAAGTCAGGGGCGTGAGAGCCGAGTTCGTCTCTCAGACGCTCCGCGCTGAAATGCTGTCCAGCTGCTGCGTGGATCAGAACGTTCTCAAGCGTCGCTAGTCTCTCCATGCCGAGCTGGTCAAACCTTCTGCTGATTTCGCTTGTGACGCAGTCGATCGCCGCAAAATACTCCTTTCTCAACCTTGTCTTCGCATCAAGAACTGCAGGTCTTGCTGGGGTGCTGGTTTGTTCGAATCGTGCCGGTGGTTTTGCAGGCCTCGGTGGTTTGGCAGACGGTTGTTTCAAGCCCAACTTCTCCGCCGCGTCCTTCGACTCCTACCAGATGCTTTCGACACTGACATCCGATCTTAGCTGTGTTAAGGTCTGTGTAAGGATCTTCGCAGCTTGTCTGGCCCCAGTGGCGCTGTAATGAACGCTTTGCAGTCTCCTTATGAGTTCTTCACATGGCCCGAAAACTGCGATCGCCACGTTTGATCCAAAGACTGTTTCTAGCTTACCCAGAATCTTCTCATATCCTCTCATAGCCGCTTTGCGGTCATCTCGAACTGAACCTGGAGTTTGGAGGATTTCCCAAAGTGTTGCTCGAACTCGTTCGTAATTTTCGAGGAATCTTTGCACAGATTTCCCCCGAACCACCCATCGTGTCGGACACAAAGAAAGCAGGGTGGCTGGCGGTGGACCACGATCCGAATTTTCCCCCACGGAAGGAAGAACGATGTTGCTGTAAGCACTTTTCCTCTTTGCTGAATCCAGGATGATATTTGAAACGTCTTTCACAGTTGTTAGGGCATCGGCAACCAATTCATTGCCACGGCCGACTTCTTGTAGGGCCAGATCGAGGGAGTGGTTGCTGCAATGAATGTACACTGACTTTGGCTGGACATCAGCAATCCTTTTTTGCACTCCAGAAAATCGACCTGACATGTTTGCAGCTCCATCAAAGCACATTCCTCGCAGTTTGTCAAAGCTAAAGCCCAGACGTACAATCATGTCTTTCACGGCACTGAAAAGTGTTTCTGACTTTGTGTCGGGTGGATTGTATACGCCGATGAAATCTCCGTGCACTTTCATTGACCCTCTTTCCACCCAACGCAAACATAGCGTGAACTGCTCGTCTCCCGTCACGTCGGTCGTTCCATCAGCAATGATTCCGAAAAAGAGACTCGCCTTTATCGCAGTGCTGAGGTCATGCTGGAGCATTTGCGCCATGATTTCAATCATCTCATTTTGGATTTCCCCACTTAGCCATTTGTCTCTTCGAGTCAGCCACTTCCTTAGCGCAGGTATATTGTCTGATCGTTCTTCCAGGAGCTCGATCAAGTTACCTTCTTGTTTGGCGCGCCCTTGCAAAGCCTGGCCAGTGGTGCAAAGGTATCGCACCGAACTGATGATCACGCGCAGCGCAGCTCGTGCTTCCTCTTGCTGCCTGCTTGCGTGCTTGGTGAGGAGTCCAATAACGACCAAGCCTTTCTTTTTCGTCTCGAGATACGCAACGGATTCGACCTGGTAGCGACTTTTTTCGTGGCCGCGGAATCTTTCGAGCGCCTTCCTCCAGTTTGAAAATCCAGTTTTTATGAAACTGGGTCCAATGACTGCAGAGTCGTCTCCCTTCTCTCTAAATGCCTGGATGCATTTCTGGCAAACAACAAACATCGCGGTCTTCGTTGTATTGAAGCCAGGAAAACCTTTCGAACCACGAGTATTGGCATGATCTGTCGGTGTTGTTCTTCGGGAATTCGTAGTTCTTCGCTGGGTGGAATCCAGGCAGAGGCTGGTGGCCCGCTTCACCTTTGTTGTGGCAATCCGCTCCGCAATGAGGAGACAATCCGACCGTGCTTCCACCATCATCGAGCGCTGAAGAAGTTAGAAGAAAAACAAAAGAATTGTAAGTTGAATACGTAGACTATTAAAAAAAATTGTAAGCAGTGCTACTGTGCAGGCGAGCTGGTAAGTAATGCACTTCTTGTAGACGCTGAGATGGGGACCATATTTTGAGACTGTTGTTTTCGTCCGCTTTTTATTGCTTCCCATCTCAGGGTCTACAAGATGTCGAAAACAAATAGCCAAAATTTTACAGCATCACTGTGTGGGCGATACTGCGCTTTGCACCAGCGCGCCTGGGGAAAGCATCACCGCTTCGCCCAGCATGCTGGTGTTAAGCTGCGCCACTTTAAACCGGGGCATTGCGACGGAGCAGCTTGGCTTTCTCGGGGCTCAGAAATTCGGCTGATCTAGTTTCAAACTTGGCAATGCTTGCTAGATATATCTATTTTTTTCGAATAGTCCTATTCAATTCGAAGTACGAAGCCAATATGGGGCTATTTGCTTCGATATTCGAAGGTTTTAAATATTCGCAGTACCCCCGTATACTAACTAGTATTGTGGTACAAATATGTAAAAAAAGGCAAAACCTACATTTGGGAGCTCGCAGAACCTAGAAGACCAGCCCGCGGAACTCAGTTTGAGAACCCCTGGTCTACACGACTAATTTCGTGCACGTACGCCTGATATCTTTCAAAGAGCAACCCCTGACGTACACTTGGGTGGGTTTAAATGTAAAAACGACACCAAGGAAAAAAAAAGAAAAAAAAAACTCGATAACATGAATTAATATTTTGGATTGGGCTAATAATAATAAGTTCATGTTCATTAAAAGATCTGAAAGCGCAAAAAACACACTGCCAAAGAAATTGAAAATCAGCGGCCGTCTGTGTTTTACGTGTTGTTTCTTAGTCCGTGTGTTTTTTGCGCTTTTAAACCTTTTAACGAACTCGATACCATCTTTGCGCTTTAGTTGATTCGCTAGCTTCAAGATGTGTTTTGACAAGACATAAAAATGTGTACCACACCGAGGAGGTTCAACGGAAGAAAAACTTTGCCTGTTATAGTTACTATAAACGACTAAATTTTCGCGAGGACCTAATTGCCTACAATTCACGAAAAATACGTGCCGCGAACAATTCGGGCAATATGTGAACGCTGGGGAAGCTACTCTCGATTCGCGAAATTTTGAGCCCGCAAAAATTAAGTCGTTTAAAGCATTATTAATTTTACAGGCTGTGCTCAATAAATTGCACAGGATAAACAACATTGAACCATAAATTTGTTCTCTTAATCGATTTGGGCCATATCGGTAACTAAAAAAAACTTTCGACAAAAGTCGCCATTGGTCTCATTATTGGGCAACAGCGCTTGTGATTATTGTTATCACGTTGAAAAATCTACATTAGAACAATGCGAATGTGGCGCGCGCTAATACCCGTGCCAAACGGGCAACTCGAATGCCATTAACAACGAATGACACTTAAGCGGATGGCCAACCAGCGCGCGACACTCCGGGTGTAGCGCATTCCACGCGCGACAGATTGCGAGCTGATTTGCCGATCACACAAATGTCATTCGTTGTAAATGGCATTCGAGCTGCCCGTTTGGCACGGGTATAAGTCGAGAACATTCTTTTCTCTTAAAGAAGTGATTGAGGTTTATATATTTTTTCACTAAGGCGGGATAAAAATACGACACACCGAGGCAAACGCAAAATTATGTTTCTACGTTAAGAGAAATGCAACTAGAACACGTCACCACAATGCAATGCTTTTGAAAATTAAATGCAAAAGACAGCCGCCTCGGTGGCTGCGAGGCAAAGCGCCGGCCTGCGAGTCCCCGTGTGGCGGGTTCGAATCCCGGTCGCGGTGGCCGCAATCTGACGGAGGGTTTTTGGCGGAGAAGGCGCCCGAGCTTTCGGTTGCACGTCAAAAGAACTCCGGGTGGTAAAAATTAATCCCCAGTCCTCCGCTGGGGCGTGCCAGATGCCTGTCGTTGGTTTGACAGGTAAAACCCCCAATATGGCTTTTAAAACCAAATGCCCGCCAAAGGCGGTCAGCGAATCTGACATTCTTTACCGGGAGGGAGTTCACTTACGATGTCTCGTTATACCTTTGAAGTGACTGCGAAAATTTGCTTGTTAACGTAGCGTGCTACGATTTGCTACAGAGCTGATCGAAGGTAATGGATTCATTATTTGTAAGAATGAAGATAAACATTTTAAGTGAAAAATAAAGAAGCCTTTTTCTATGGGTATATATCCGCGGAATCTCTTTTTTGCGAAACTATGAAATCTTTTTCTGGGCAACTGAGGCGTTTATTAGGACTGAAAAAAATGGGTGGAATAAACATAAAATATTACATAACATGGCCTTCATTTCGACAGAATTAATGCCACAGTGGCCCAAGATATTATTTAATATCTTGGGCCACTGTGGGTCATAATATCACGCAAAATAAAACAAAAAACAATTTTTTTTGCTTACGTAAATTAACTTTAGTAAAATTTTACTGAATTACTTCCACTATCTACGTATGTGTGCTAAATATTTTCGCAATCTATTACAAAACTGTTTTATGCGGTTATTTCATAGGACCCACGAAACATTGTGAACTCCCTACAATGCCGTTCATGCGATTTAAGATTCGACTTTCGCTCTCTTGCTTTGCTACGCATGCACACACACAAAAAGAAAAATTAAAGAGAACCTACCAGATTTTTGTAAATTCTGGGTGCCTCTTGGTACGATACGGTCCGCTGCTGCCGTGTCGACGTTTTTGGATATTTCCGGTGGCTGCTCACCCTGACAAACTGCCAATTTCTTGGATCCTCGCAACCACGCATCGAGGAGCGTCCTTTTGGTCGCCATAATGATTAAAAGTTTAAAACTTTACATACTGTATTTTTTTAGCGTTGTACTCGTTGAAAAAAACAACCGTACATCCTCTGATGATGAGATGTTCAAAGAAACCGTCCGCGGATTTCACAGTGACATATCTACTACTGCAGTTTCAGTGGAGTGACAGGGCGAGGAGAAAGAGGGCTGGGGAGGAGGAAGCAGACGGACTGCTGGAGACGAGGAAAACACATCCCTCTCGCTCAAGCACCTTCACTGGCGATGCCCTTTTTTATTTCAGCATGTTTCCTGTATTTGATGGTCGTGTTTGAAAATAGGCTGAAACCGTCTAGGTGCATAATAGGGCGCCCGCCTGAAGATAGCAGGCTGGCTCGCCAAGAACCAAATGGTGTTTCGACAACGAGACACAGGAATACAGGCGAGAATGCCGCGTTCCTCTGATGTCTCCGACGACCACCGTGACAGCGGCGCTTCAACACAGACTGCGGTGCGATGTCTCCCCTTACAACCTCTGTCGCCTGCTAAGGCCTCCTCTTGCCTTGGGAGTTGGGAAACGTTTTCCCCTCAACTCGCTACATCTGTAGGCAGTCCCCCGCTCAAGAAGGGCTTTCTTTTCCCGCAGACCGTCTCCCCGCCTCGCGATCGGCTCCACACGAAAGCAATTATAAGAAGCTCATGGTTACTCAGATCCCCAAAACAACAACAAAAACGCCGTTGAAAAAAAAAAAAATGTCAGAAGAAATTTTTGTATTTTTTGGGAAACGTCATTGCTGCAGATAGAGGCCGAACGAGGAAGCCGGCTGGCTGGCTGGACAAAAACAGTGCGTTATGCGTTCCCCCGTATGGCCAACCCGCCAGTGGAGTATGGGGGGCCCCAGTCCCTGACTGGTGCTATGCAGGCCGCAGGCGCCGGCTTTTTTTTTTTTTTTTCCATTTTTTTTCTTTTTTAGGCTGCCGCGTCGTCCGCGGTTTACTGGCACTTTGCTTTACTTAGTAATTTTTTTTTCTGGAAGTTCGTGGGCGGGGGTTGCGTGTTGGGTGGGAACGAGCCGTAACAGAAACAGAGAGCCACGTGCTTGCCCTTAGCCAATACGTGGCTTGGCGGAGCTGAGCAGCAAGGGGGACACGGAGGGGAGGGGGGAGGGGTGCAGCCATTGTTCAGTACGCCTCAAGCCAAACGCACGGGGGCTCAACATATTGCCCAGCACCCCCTGGAAAATGTCAGCGGGTGCTCAAGCCCCCGTTGCGCCCCCGGTTCCGGGGTCCCTGATCGGAATGATTCAGAATCACTGCGGAGTTGATACTCGGGAAGATAAGACGGGCACTTGGGAGAAACGGACCGTGGCATTTGAGACAGGGGCACAACCGGGGGACAAACGTGCTACAATCGCATACCCTTCCAAGGTCATCGCTTGGGCGACCGCGCGCGCGCCCAAGAAACCTTTCTTTTCTTCTTTTTAGGGGTGGTGGGGGGGGGGGGGGGGGGGGAGTGGAGGGGAGTGGTGTAGGCGCTGATTGTCTTCCTCCTTTGTGGCTTTTGACAGACGCACAACGAGACTGGCAGAACAAGCGCATGATTCATTTCTTTCGATGGAGGCGTTCTGTCCGTGTATGCGAACATGATTTTTTTCCCCTTTTAGTAGTTAGTTGTTCTTGCCTTGACTCGGGTCCCAGTGGGTGCGTTGTCGTTGTATGCCCACTATTTTTTTTTTAGTTTATGGTAGTTTTTGCGCTGATGGGGTATCCAGGTAGACAAAAAGTAAAAAAAATAAAATAGCGCCTCAACAAAAAAAAAAAAAAAAAAAAAAAAAAAAGTTGTTGCGATCAGGAACGTTTTCAAAGCCATTTTAGGAGCCTGCGGTGTTACCACAGGTGCAGGATTGAGAGCGTAACCCACGCAATTGAAGAGAAGGGGAAGCTCTCGTCTTATTGGAACTCTCTTTTATGGGTTTCCACGTCGCGATTGTCCTT